TAAATAAATAAATAAATAAATAAATAAATAAATAAAAAAGAATGCAGAGTTAACACTGCATTCACTGCTTATGCAAATAATATTACAGCTACTTTGGAAGACAATTTGCCAGTTTCTTGCAAAACTAAACATACTCTTCACCATATGATCCTGCAATCGTGCTCCTTGGTATTTATCCAAAGGAGTGGTAAACTTATATCTATACAAAAATCTGCATACCCAGAGGTGTAGAGCAGTTTTATTCAGAACTGCCAAAACTTAGAAGCAACCAAGATATTTTTCAGTAGGTGGATAAACTGTGGTACCTCCAAACAATGCAATATTCTTCAGTGCTAATAAGAAATGAGTTACTAAGCCATACGAGGACATGGAGGAACCTAAAATGCCTATGAACCCAGTCTAAGAAGGCACCCTGAAAAGGCTACATACTGTGTGGTTCCAATTACATGACATTCTGGAAAAGTCAAAACTATAGAGACAGAAAAAAGATGAGTTGTTCTCAGGGACTGAGGGGAGGGAGATGAACAGGCAGAGCACAGAGGATTTTTAGGACAGTGAAACTATTTTGTATGATACAACAGCAGATACAGGTCACACAGTTGTCAAAACACACAGAAACTCAGAAAATTCATTCACCAGGAGTGAACCCTAATGCAAACTCTGGGCTTTGGGTGATAATGACGTATCAGTGTAAATTCCCTGGTTGTAACAGATGTAGCACTTGGGCGTGGGATGCTGATGAGCAGTTCATGTGTGGGGCAGGGAACATCCGGGACTTCTCCATACTTTGCACTCAATATGCTGTAAACCTAAAACTGCTCCAAAAATTAAGTTTACTAATTAAAAGATAGCATGAAACATCTCGTCTGCAATGACAAAGCATAAAAAAATAGAACTTTAGGGACCACTACAAAAAGGCTGTGATATAAGAATCATAATAGCAGCTAATAGGTTATATTAATGTCAGGACAAAAAGAAGGATACATACTTACAATCACGTAGTTCAACAATGTCTCATTATAGAAAAACCAAAATAAGAAAAATTATGATAGCATGAACTTAGAAGATAAAGATTTCTATGTATGGCATTTAAATGAGTAAAGGATACAGATATTTACACTCTAAAATAACTCAGTCAAGTGTCTGCCTTCAGCTCAGGTCATGATCCCAGGGTCCTGGGATCGAGCCCCGCGGTCAGGCTCTCTGCTCAAGCGGGGAGTCTGCTTCTCCCTCTCCTCCCACCTCGTGGGCTCTCTCTCAGATAAATAAAAAAATTATTTAAAAAATAAGCCAGAAGTTTAAAAGCAAGTAATTTCTACATGTAAATCACTACATTAACTACTCAAAAAAGAAAACATTAATAGTTGCAAAAAATCTTTTTTTTTTTTTTTAAGATTTTATTTATTTATTTAACAGAGAGATAGCGAGAGCAGGAACACAAGCAGGGGGAGTGGGAGAGGGAAAAACAGGCTTCCTGCTGGGCAGGGAGCCTGATGTGGGACTCATCCCAGGACCCTGGGATCATGACCTGAACCGAAGGCAGACGCTTAACAACTGAGCCACCCAGGCGCCCAGTTGCAAAAAATCTTAAACCTAGCATTCATTCATGATAAAACTCAAATTATGAGCAACAAGAGGTCAAAGGAAATATGTATAATAAAAATCTTGATTAAGGGCGCCTGGGTGGCTCAGTCATTAAGCGTCTGCCTTTGGCTCAGGTCATGGTCCCAGGGTCCTGGGATCAAGTCCCACGTTGGGCTCCCTGCTCTGCGGGAAGCCTGCTTCTCCCTCTCCCACTCCCCCTGCTTGTGTTCCTGCTCTCACTGTCAAAAGAAATAAATAAAATCTTAAAAAAAAAAAAATCTTGATGAAGTCAGAGAAAAGGTCAAAAGAGGAAACATCAACTTGACTACTAATACAAAAAGTGATCAATATTACACACATATCATCCCTCCTAATGAAATAAACTAGAAAATCCAACACCGGGAGTTGTACCTAAAGCTTAACCAAGGCGACTATGGGAAAGCAAGGAGTAGGGCGCCTGGGTGGCTCAGTTGTTAAGCGTCTGCCTCCGGCTCAGGTCATGATCCCAGGGTCCTGGGATCGAGCCCCACATCGGGCTCCCTGCTCAGTGGGAAGCCTGCTTCTCCCTCTCCCTCTGACACTCCCCCTGCTTGTGTTCCCTCCCGGGCTGTGTCTCTGTCAATAAATAAATAAAACCTTTAAAAAAAAAAAAAAGAAAGCAAGGATTTAAGAGTCCACTGGGTAAGACTTTCCACGGGGCTTCAATACTTCAGCAACATGGGGAATGAGGTACCTATTCCAGTTTAGGAGACCAAGGGAATGTGTACCTCTTAATCTGGATCCCAGCTGAACAAATCAGTGCAGAAGAGCAGGAAATTCTGAATGTGGATAACATATTAAATGATATTCAGGAACATGAATTTTATTAGCTGTGATAATACTGTGGTTATTTAAGAAATGTCCTTATTTTGGGTGCCTGGGTGGCTCAGATGGTTAAGTGTCTGCCTTCGGCTCAGATCATGATCCCAGGGTCCTGGGATCGAGTCCCGCATCGGGCTCTCTGCTCCTTGGGAGCCTGCTTCTCCCTCTGCCTCTCTCTCTGTGTCTCTCATGAATAAATAAATAAAATCTTAAAAAAAAAAAAAGAAATGTCCTTATTTTTTGAGATACATGGTTCAAAAGAGTCAAAATGGCGTCACTTACGTTAAGGCGCCAAGTCAGTAAACTGAGACTGAATACCTAACCTAACTGCAGTTTTAACCCAGGACTGTAACCTTGAAGAGGTCAATCAGGAATTTTCTGGTCAGCAGAAAATAATCTGTCACACGGGTCCTCTCCTTCCCCCCAAAAGAAGATGAGATAATCCACCTATTAAAACCCTTTTGTTGGGGCGCCTGGGTGGCTCAGTTGGTTAAGTGACTGCCTTCGGCTCAGGTCATGATCCTGGAGTCCCGGGATCGAGTCCCGCATCGGGCTCCCTGCTCAGCGGGGAGTCTGCTTCTCCCTCTGACCCTCCTCCCTCTCATGCTCTCTGTCTTTCATTCTCTCTCTCTCAAATAAATAAATAAAATCTTTAAAATAAATAAATAAATAAAACCCTTTTGTTGGGGCGCCTGGGTTGCTCAGTCGTTAGGTGTCTGCCTCCAGCTTGTGTCATGATCCGGGGGTCCTGGGATCGAGCCCCGCACTGGGCTCGGCGGGAAGCCTGCTTCTCCCTCTCCCGCTCTCCCTGCTTGTGTTCCCTCTCTCGCTGTGTCTCTCTCTGTCAAATAAATAAATAAAATCTTAAAAAAAAACCCAAAAAACAAAAATACCCTTTTGTTCCCAGATGAAGGGAACCTCACCTGAACTAATCCTTTTTCTGTTTAGGACTTCCTTGTCCTGACTTTAAAAACCTTACCCTTTCTGTAGAACTTTGGCACTCCCCTCCATTTGCTAGACAGGATGAAGTCCAGCTCATGAATTCATAAACTTGTTTGAATTTTTGTTTTTTTAAAAATACTTACTTTTTTGGGCGCCTGGGTGGCTCAGTTATTTAAGCGACTGCCTTCGGCTCAGGTCATGATCCTGGAGTCCTGGGATCGAGTCCCGCATCAGGCTCCCTGCTCAGCGGGAAGTCTGCTTCTCCCTCTGACTCTCCCCCTCTCATGCTCTCTCTCTATCACCATCTCTCTCAATAAATAAATAAAAATCTTTATAAAAAAAAAATAAAAAAATACTTACTTTTTTTTTTTAAACTGAAGCATAGTTGCCATATACTACTGTAGTTCAGGTGTACAAATAGGGACTCTACCTTACAATATGTTCACCACGATGAAAACAGTCACAACAATACTCAAGTTTTTAAAGGTAAAATGACATGTCTGGAATTTACTTTAAATACTGCAGCAGGGACTGGGTGGCTCAGTCGGTTGGTTAAGCATCTGCCTTTTGCTCGGGTCGTGGTCCCAGGGTCCTGGGATCAAGCCTCACATCAGGCTCCTTCCTCAGTGGAGAGCCTGCTTATGCTCTCTCTGACAAATAGATAAAATCATAAAAAAATATATATATATACATATAGGAGTTTATTCTATTGTATGTGTGCAAGTATTCCTAACTTTTTTTTTTTTTTAAGATTTTATTTAAGTAATCTCTACACCCTATGTGGGGCTCAAACTCACTACTTCAAGATCCAATGACTGAGCCAGCCAGGTGCCCCATCTCCTAACTAAAAAATTGTTAAGAAAAAATCACTGGACTGGGGCGCCTGGGTGGCTCAGTCATTAAGCGTCTGCCTTCAGCTCAGGTCATGATCCCAGGGTCCTGGGATCGAGCCCCGCATCAGGCTCCCTGCTCCACGGGGAGCCTACTTCTCCCTCTCCCACTCCCCCTGCTTGTGTTCCCGCTCTCGCTGTCTCTCTCTGTGTCAAATAAATAAATAAAAATCTTTAAAAAATAAATAAATAAATATTGATCCACAAGGTAAAAACAAACACAAACCCCTCATCAGATCAGTATTATAAAGAAAAATCAATACAACATTTTAAAAGGTTCCATATCCAGAAGTTTCCTTTGAACTACACACAAGACAATTTTCATTACATAGTTCTGAACTGCAAGAAAGCTAAAACAGAAGGAATAAAAAGCTAAACAGGTAAGCAATCCACAGAAGAGGGAGTAACATTCTAAACCACCACAAAAAAATCATTAATGTTTTTTATATTAAAAGCTTATATAATAAGCTAAAATTAAAAAAAGGCATGCAAAGCAATACCAAACATATGAAAAGGTGCCCAACCCTGGAAGTTGAGGATTTTTTTTTTTTAAAAAGGATCACTTTTGCCTATCTAGAGTGGGAGTGGTTACAGCTTTCCAGGAAATTGGAAAACCTACTAAAATCAGATATATTACATAACTCTCCCCTTGAGACTCTACGCCAGGAATAAAACCACCTGTACTTAAGAATACTGAGACAAAAGGTTTAGCATTGTGCTTTTTGTGACAAAAGCCCAGAAAGCAATGCCGTTTAGTAAGAGGATTGAACCACTGAAGGTCTAACCACACTGTGCAACTCTAAGCAACCATTACCGAGTATATTCAGAGACAAAAACACACAGCTTGGAGTGTCCTTGATACATTGAAGAATAAAACAAGCTGCAGAAAACGCAGGTACTATAATCTCGTTTTTGTAAATGCACACAAAACCATCAGAAACAAGAATGAACAGTAAACGTGAAATAGGCTCAATTTTATGAATCCGGAAAATGCAAACCAGAACAGATTCTAGTGTTTTAAAAAGCGGATATGGCCAGGGCTGGGGCAAATCTCTCTCCACTGAAAGGGGCACTGGGAATTATCAGAACCTT